ACACATACCGACCGGTACCTGCACAGTGGTTCAAACCATCATCCCCGTCAGAAAAGAGGAGTCATCAAAACTCTCACCGAAAGAGCCAGAAGAATCTGCGAACCAGCCGAGTTAGAGAGAGAATTAAAACACCTGGAAGAAAGATTTCAATAGAGCAATTCGACCAAAAAACAGTGAAGATCGCTCGGAGACAACAGAGACGCATGATGAGCGTAGGAGTTGGGCTTGCCTCCCATACATACACGGAGTCACGGACAGGATCGGCAAGATACTGGAGAAACACCAAGTAAAAACCATTTTTAAACCAACTCGAACCATCCAACAGACTTTGCAATTGGCCAAGGACAAACGGGATCCTTTATCAGCACCAGGAGTCTACAGAGTTCCGTGCAGCTGTGGAAGAGCATTCATCGGCACCACAAAACGAAGCATAAACGAAGTTGCAGATTGGGACAAGCAGAAAAATCAGCAGACATTCTGCACCAATCTGAAAGATACTACCCGAGACTCACCAGAGAGGCCATCGAAATATTTAAACACCAAAACAACTTTAACAGAAAAGACGAAATTACGGCACTCAATCCAGATTGAAAGCGCGTTTTGCGCCAAACAGCATGTGCGCCGAAGCGTTTGAACCCCCACCCATCCCCCACGCATGAGCACACACGGCATAAATACGACGGGGAATCCAGCAGTTGAACTTCGCCCACTGCCTCATCGCCTTTGATAATGTCCACCGCAGTTGTGGACGAAACGTCAGGAAGAAGTTCCCATAGACCACGGCTTCAAAGCCTGGAAAACATTCCTAAATGTGATTTAACCGGCCGTGAAAGCCTTCATAGTCTGACAAGACTTAGTCGTTTTTCACTTGAAACCAAATCGCTGTAAACTTTACCTATGGAAGGCCGGCATATCGCAATTGGCAGTTTGCTTTGGTACTCGGACACCAATTGTTCAGTCAGACACTTGGTGTATGCGTATGTGTTGGGCGAGTTTCCCAGCAGCTTTGGAGTGAGCAACTTCAGCAAATCTCCGTCCATCCACTTGGCCAGATCGAGAATGTGTCTGGAAATTGAAGAATGCACATTAGAGGAATTTTTCCTACCAGATGAGGATTCTACCTGGGATTGTGGGGTGCTGGGTAGAGTTTCTCTTCCAGTCTAGTCTCGTCGCAATGGCAGTAGGATGTGGACGTGTGCACAAACACCTTCAGTTTCTTGAACCTGCAAGCCAAGTCCAGCACGTTCAAAGTACCACCTGCAAGTTAAAAAGGTGTAAAATATTGCAAACTCAATGCGGGAAGCGTTGAGTGTTATACCAGTGTTGAGCAGGACGGCACTCTTCAAGGGCTGGTCGAACCGCACGTTAGCAGCCATGTGAAACACAACGGTGACGTTATGTTCCAGTTCTTGAATAACGTCCTCATCCAGACTCAAGTTTGGATGGACCACGTCGCCACTTAGGCACTTTAGCTTGTTCAGAATCGTTTCGCTGTTCTGACTGTCCCGCAATTTGTCAAAAACCTTTAAAATACGGGGTTATTTGCTGGCATTTACGACTGGAATTTTGCTCACGGGTGAATTCCAGAAGTCCTCCAATCTCTGGGACGAGTTTCTGCCTTTCTTGTGCCTGATGACGATGTAGATGGTGGAAACGTCGGGGCAGCAGCGGAGCAACTTTTCCACAAGAACTTTGCCCATGAAACCCGTGGCGCCTGTCACGAATATACTTTGGCCGGCATACCAGCTCGGAATATCTGATTCGGAACCCATTTCGATGGAATTTTAACTAGGAAATAATAGGAAATTAGTTTCATTCAATTCTCGAATGGTTCATGAGAAACTTCGAAAAAAGCAGCGTCATGTTCAAGTGAATTTTGCAACTCAAAAAAAACCACGCAAATCTGAAACTTCTTGAATTCAAGCATTTCTTGAGAAAACTGCCAACATTTCCCCATCCATGGTTCACTTTCTAAAAAGGCCATTTATTTCGGTCTAGAATGATGTACAAATGAGCGTTATTGCTCATTTTGCCTCCGAGAAATGACCAAAAAAGGGACGGAAAACATGAAATTTTGGCATAATCTTGCACCTAACTGTCTGATATTCAAATTTCGCTTTCTGGGTCAAAACTACTCGAATTTCCTCCCTAACATTGTTACGGCTGAATCGAGTTTTCAATTCTCTATCCAACGATGCCAAAACGAATTCTGTGGCTGGAATGGTTCTTGAGAAACTTCGAAAAAAGCAGCGTCATGTTCAAGTGGA